AAAAATGTTCACTAATCTGAATCGAACAAGGTGCTTTTGTGAATACACTGAATTCGCCACACTATCGTGAATTGTAGTAGGAGCTCCTAATATCTGCCATGATTCTATGTGACTTTACAATATTTTCAACACAGGAAATGATTCGTGTTGTAGTTGGTGTATTGGGTTCAGATTATAAACAATGGGCATACTTTCACACATCTTTGATTGGTAAAACCATGGAACTATAAACCCCAGGAAGAACAACCACTTCGTTTCCTTTGAACTGTGATAGTTGCCGCGATGTCTAATGTTTATTTTGACTGTTTATTTCGTCACATTAAAAATTAGGCCGATTTACGCAAATGAACGTTTATCTCCGACTATCGGTCATTTTCGGAGTCAATCGGGCGACTTCGGGAGATCACGTGATCGAGTTATTTCGGTTATAGCAATTAGCATAAAAAAACAATGGCCCCAAGACAAAAACACTGATAAATGAGCGACATTCAACGGGAAAAAAAAAACACATTGCCACTTCTGGCGATCGAAGGGAAACACGGAATAAGTCGGGATATCTCGACAACAAACAGCATACCAAACCCCATGTTTATAGTTCCATGGTAAAACAATGCTGTTTGAATGTTGTCTTGCGTGTCTTGTGGTCCGACAACTATTTTATCACAAGTACTAGTGCTCTCAATAATGATTGGGAATGCAGGTTCTTTTCGTGGTAATTTGTCACATCTGTTATATCTATTTATTAAGCAACATATCGGATATACAACGAATGTTCAATACGGGAAAGCGTTGTCTTTAAAGGCGATTTGACCAGATTTGTCTGGCACCCTGTCATAGTTTCAATTATTTCAGTCTATTACTGCATCTAGACCATCATTCCTGTAAACTAAACCAGTATTTTAGTTTGCTTGTAGTTCTGAAGTACATACATGTAATAGAAATGTACAAGGTTACGTTCTTTTGTTTTGTTTTTCACAGCAACACAAAGTACTAGAAGTACGCGAATAAGATTTTAGCACACCTTGTGTGCAAACTGATTCATTTCATACATTGCCACGTACATGACAATTTTCTCTCGGCGTCCATTCTTAGGTCGACTGAATTGCATGGAAGTAAATTTAGTAAAAGAAATAATAATTAGACGGCAATGTAATTGAGTAACTGTAGACGTTCACTCATTCACGTAATTATTGTTTGAAAATGAGCTGGCCTATTGGAAGCAACATGTACCGAATGATAATTCTGGCTGATAACAGCCATAATACGAAATGTGGCCATGACACCGTGACGGTTCAGTCCACAAACAAATTTCATCTCGATATTTCTTGGCAACAAATGCACTAGAGTACAGTTGGCATCAAACGAACACCATTCTCTGCATTTTAGTCTGTCCACATCAATACTGGCTACCGATTCATCACCAGAACTTTTACTTTCCATTAAACATTCTCTGCCATCACCTGCACAGTACGTTGGCATGGCCTTGTAACTGTTATACTATACACGTCAAATTCCGTTTTATTTTCATATTTAACGCTGGAGTTTTCCATCGAAACAAGCGCTTTGAGGAGAGCAGATACTGTCCCGCGATACTGTGAAAACGCAACTGTTCCGAAATGACGTCACAGTTTAGCCCTCTACGGCCAGATCTCGCCATTGAGAGCAACGGTAATAATAATAACCCATTTTCAAACCAGTGTTATGAAGCAGTAAAAGAAGCACAAGACCTATTTTTTTAATACTTTATCCAGAGGCATCAGACAGTATGAATATAACATAAAATCCCAGCGTTTTGTACCCCTTTAAGAGACTGGAATCTATGATCTTGGCAGAAATAAGTAACAGAAACACAACACAATTTGAATATACAGTAGTGGGTTTCTAACTTCCATCGTGATTGTTTATTTGATTTGAAATGAGAATAGAAAACATTCCGATAGAAGACAATGTATATATTAAAAAATAAAACTGAACATAAACTATAGTAAATTTACATTTCAATATGTGGAGTTATTATGTGAATTAATATATATATGTATTAGAATATATGCATTTCAAACTCTGGAAAAATCAGGACTGGAAGAGAAACAAAGTTAAACTTTATATTTTAATAATTTTACATGAAACAAAGGGTCAAACAAAGTATGAGCTGCCTAGTTGTTACACTACTTGGCATCCCTGGGACAGGGGATCAATTGTTAAATATCTTGCCTCAGTATTCAGTTGAATAGACATACAATTCATTGTAAGTTGTCTTCCTACAGATATATTACAAAAGCATGGTCAAATGCCAAGATGTCATCAATTATATTTTGTTCAACTTCATGTTTTCCATATTTCAGGTAACCAGAATACCTACAATACAGAATCACCATGCTTCCTTTCATGTGTTTAAGGTAGCTAAGAAATCAGACATTGTGAAACTAAAAATTAACACAACCAAATATGTTTAAAGCTTTTACACTTAAAATTACACTTTGCACAGTAACCTCACACGATAAAGATATCCAGTGTGCTCCTATCATAGATTTTTATCTTGTGTCAAAGATCTATCAAGACTTTTCATTATGTTGCGGTAATATGAATAACATTGCACTTGTAATTAAACAAAAACTGCAGCGTGAATACCGAATATTTTTCCTGTTTACTAGTGAAATACATATAGTAAGACATGAGAAATACATTAGACCTCACCCCTCAAGCCACCACCAAATATACCAGTATTGACAAAAAAAGCTACATGTGGTTTTAACACACAAGTTAACCAGAAATTGTCATTTTTACCTCAACACATACAAGTTAACAGTTTTGGCTTACATTTTTTTATCAAGCCCAAGTAAGGTGAAGATTTGGTACTGTAAAACCATTTATTTTCACTATTTGGATGCTTTGTGAAATTTCATGGGGTTTTATTTTCACAAACTTTGCAGGAAGACAACAAGCTTCATCGTTAATTTACATAATCACATGGATTTAGTTTAGTGAATTTCACTAAATGGTGTACCAGTATATAGCAAAATTAAAAACCAGGAAATAATTAAGGAATTTACAGTAATGAAAACCTGTACATAATAATGTATTCATTATGGCATTACATAAATGTGAAGTAATTCATGTCATATTTCATCAACTAAACCGCAATATACCAATAGAAGATTAACTCTGGTTGACTGATTCGTATCTTCCCTACATTTTTGTATTAGATGATTTCCAGCAAAACTAGATACATTTTGAATTGCAAAAGACAACATGCCATGGAAGTTCAAAAGTTACAGGTCTGTATTTAGTTAAATTGGCATGATGAATGTCAAGTACAGGTCTGTATTTAGCTAAATTGGCATGATGTACGTCAAGTACAGGTCTGTATTTAGCTAAATTGACATGATGAATGTCAAGTACAGGTCTGTATTTAGCTAAATTAACATGATGAATGTCAAGTACAGGTCTGTATTTAGCTAAATTGGCATGATGAATGTCAAGTACAGGTCTGTATTTAGCTAAATTGGCATGACGAATGTCAAGCAAATTTTCTTGAAACTTGGCATGCATATGAAACCACATAAAATGTTGTTTATTCATGTTTCAAAAACTCAAATGACTACCAGTCTGTGATGTGTAAATGAAAAGAAAATGAAATGAAATGAAATGAAATGAAATGAAAAACAAACTGTTCATCCATCTGTCTCCAAAAGTCAGTCTCAATAACGGCATCACTACATATAGTTGTAGATTTAGCTCACCTGCAATTCAGGAATACAGTGTTGGATAAGTTAATAGTTACCCGACATATCTGGAATTACACAATAGTAGTACACACATAGTAGTAGCAGGAAATAAAATAAAGCAAGTACATGGCAGAATAAGTTTGTATTTTCCTTCTCATGTATTTACTAGAATTATAATTATTTGATGTGACTATTTTATAACAGCTGCTAAAATATTGAAAATAAAATAAAACAAAGATCTGATGTGTAAAAAGACATTATATGTGTTGTATGTAATCCATATTTTTTCTATCATAAAAAATCATCATCAAGACACCAAGTATTAAGTATGCAATTTATAATACATAACCATCAGAAAATATTGACTAAAATCACCTTCAAAATAACCCTATTCATCAAAACACTTGTACTGATAACAGAGAAAATATGGTAGATAAACAGTTTTTACTGACACTGAGGTTACTTAAAGCCAATCTAAAGTCTACCGTAATTAAGAAAACAAACCAAATACAAATGGAACAAAAAGTTAAATCTCCAAGTCTGATAAAACTTATATTATTTAAAAGCACCACCAACTTCTGGCAACTTTTGGCAACTGAATTATATTGTTTGAACTAGACGTGACACACTAGTGAGGTCGATTGTGATTACAGTATCGATGAAATCTTGGAATAGATGGAACACATGGAAAGTTATTTCTTTTGAACTAATGTTATTACAAAAAGTTTTTTGGAATTGCTAGGGAATACAACAAATTGGGGTATTCATGAAGTTATGGAAAGTGGGATGAAAATAGGAATGACAATATGCTGTGTATAATTAAAGCATGCACACAGGAAAACTTGATTTAGTATTTAGGAAGAAGAATTAAACAATGATTACAGATAATGTCACACTTGGTTGTTCACTTTATGATGAATGTTGAATGTTTTGAGCAGCATACATAGATAAATATGCTACCTCAGTTTTCAAAAACTCAGTGCATGTTTGAAAACAAATTATTAGTGTTGATGATTAATATGATTACGCATATTTTTCCTATCTACAGCTTCTAAGAATTATTGCAGTTAAAAAATTGCTAGTTTTGTGGGAAACCAGAAAAAACATTTCCTGCATTTGTGTTTAGAGAATGCACTGAAATGCCCCTCTGTAGTAACTAAACATTGCACTGGATGAGATGCACACATTTTTCTCAGTACACCTTTCATATGAGTCACATGACCTCCTCTAGCATTAAGCTGCTTCTGAGATGTCAAAACCATATCGCTGGTTGAAAGCAAAGCCATTCAAAGCAAGGGTTTGGTAGTGAAATTATTTGGAAACAATAAAACATGATTTTTATATTAACGAACAGCAAAACTCTTGCAACTGGAGGACATGGCTTACAGATAGGGTGTAGTATAGGCATTAAAAACATTAAATTAACATGTAAAATTAAGTTATAGGTACAAATAAGAAAATGTCAGTTTTTAGTCTCCAACATCGCTGTCTCTATCACCTATAAGCCATAGTATATGGAAGGTGAGAGCCAAGAAGCCGGTACCAAGAAGATCACCGATAGCAGTCAGATATGGAATAGCAGCATTGTCTGGATCCATGTATTTACGCCACATTAAATGAATCATCCAATCAGCGATGATCAAAAGCAAAATAACCTGTAATATGGATATAATTGGTAAAAGTATTCATGTGGAAATGATGCAGACATAGGAAGGATCAAGATACTCCCTGATAGGGAGAATTATTGTAGAGATTCACAATGACTGTTTAAAATCCTTAAAAACAAAATAATTTTAAAAGCTGTCATAGAGGGCTCCATATCATGAATATTTAATTCATTACAAGTAACATAGCAAGTTACTTATAGCAAGCATTATACTTGGTACTATTATTTGGCAAAGTCAACAGATTGCAAGCACAAAGCATAGAATTTGTCTTTTTGACCAGATGATGCTGATAGATGTGTACAATGCCTCACCTGCAGTACAGCAGCTAATGAATACGCCAATGTGAAAATAACGGTGATTGTTGTGTGCCCAGCTTGTAAGTAAGATATGGTATAGAGAAAAATGAGATGACCTGGAACTACCATACAAAGCAAGACTCGAGCTGTTTTGGAGTGTGGGCCTGTAAAAATTATAAAAATAATAATTAGACTATGAATAAAACTATTGATGAGGAATATGACAGTCAATGTGTCACTATCATTTAAGACATGTTACTACCATTTAAGACATGTTACTACCATTTAAGACATGCCACTGTCATTTCAGATGTCACTATCACTTGAGACAGATCGCTATCACTTAAGACATGTCAAACACAGTTGAATAGATAGAATTGAAACACAAAGTATTCAACCTACCTCCACCAAAAAAAGTTTTACAAGGACTTCTACAGCCTTTAGGTGCATCATCTGGTAACGAATCGCCAGGTTTACCTGAACTGTGTAAATCGGTTGATATTCTACTAGCTTGTACAGCTACTAGATTACCTCCAACACCATTGATGATTGGTGTGAAAACAGCCACACCATGGTAGTTTGATACAGCAAAGTCTAATACAAGACCACCAACACTGAAAAAAAGTAAGTCCTTATTATTAGTTCAATGACACAAACTGCATGATCTGATGCATAATTTAGTTGTAAAGTTTGACAGTGATCAGTCAATGTATGTCAGAGACATGAATGTAGAATAGCATTTGCATTCGGTCATTTTGAAAAAACAAAAACAGAAATGCTTGATTTTGATGCATTTTTAACATGAAAATGGCCATGATTCCTCTATTTTGAATTGAATTGTCAAACGAGTTAATGTGTATGTGTGATGTATGATGTATATGTAAAGTTTGATTGGTCAAGGCATGTCAAAGATACAGCTCTAAAACAGTGTTCATTTTAAATCTAATCTGAATAATAACATTTTGTGCATCAAGGTTTTGTGATTTCCAATGTATCTACCAAATCTACAAGAAGTCTACAAGAATGCAAAAAGGTATTTGCCATTTTGTTTTGTTTTGTTATACTTACCTACTAATAACCATGGCACTTATGACTGGTGTCCAGCCAGAATACAGTACATCATGGGTGTATCTATTTTTATGAGATATAAAAGCCCATAGAGGAGCCAAAAATACAACAAATACAACTATTATCGTAGGAGCTATCCAAAACTGGTTATGAACTTCTGCAATGAAAAAAAAAAAAAAAAAATAATTAATTATCGAGTGCATACTTGGTTCTGTTGAAATCATAGTTTATTACCCTTACAGTGCCTGATACCTTTTATTTGTACTGCAAGAATTTTGTAAAATTGTGTATGTCATTTATGGTTTTGCCTAAGATGCATGCAGACTTATAAGATTTATTCACTCATTTGTTTTTTAGTATATCATATAAATACTTTGCAGCACAGTATGTGAAATGTGTATTGCACCCAGCACTACAAGGGTTCAGACAAGTCACAGCTGCATGAATCAAGGTTTATTGTAAAACCATTTATTTTATGTTTTGATCAATTTCCTTGGGTTGAAATTTTACAAACTTCACAGAGAAAGAATGAGTTCTATTGTTATTCCACATGATCATGTATATTTAATTTAGAGAATTTTACATATCAGTGAAAATAGCGAAATTAAAAACCAGTGAATGTACTTACCAATAGCTTCATATAGATATCTACTAATCCATGATAACAGTGCCAGGGTTGTCAGGTCACCAAGACTAGCTGCTATCGGTGTAGCTACATTGTCAGGGTTTATATGACATTTTTTTGATAATAAAATAACAGAAACCATTACAGTACCTGAAAGCAAATTATGAATATTTTGGTGTCAAAGAACAATAGACTTAAATGTTATGTAATCCATATATTTTATATTTAAAATTATCTCATATTTGTTATCAGTGAAATGATTTACATCAGAATAAATTTAATAAATGACTTATCTATCAGGAGTGAATCCTGATCCTTGGAAACTGTTTTGATTATATAGTTTTACAGTTTTGAAAAAATAAATATAATTATATTGCAAATAACGAATCATTGTCCATCACCCTATGAAGAATCAAAAATGTAAGATAGTGACAACTTGCAAGGAAATGAATTACTTATTCAAACATTGCAGAGAAAATACAATTTCTGGCGGCCATGTTTAATTTATATTACCACATTCAGTATCAAGACACCCAAAATGCACTACTCCCATATGCAATGCAACATGGTGGATGGCCATTTCTGAATAAGGTAAGGTAAGTCATGATGTCACCAGTTCACCTAACCACTAAGTTGTTTATTAAAGTATAACATAAAGCAGGTTTATATGAATGATAGTGTACTATTTGTTTTGAGTTGATGACCCTTTTTTAAGGGCATACATATAGAAAACAGTTGTCTTGTAAAATATCCATGATCATCCAAGGCTGCCATTTACCGGTAGTTTTATTTAAACAGACCTTGAAGTCAAAAGAGCAGAATGAAAACTCCATGCATATGTATTGTTACAAGATGTTGTAGCCTTCGAGTGGTTTACAATGCTGACTAGTACATTCATTCATTTCATTGTTTCATTTAATTAAAAGGGAAATTATCTTACCAGTACCAAAGGGTTAAATGAAGTAATTTTCATGGCTAAGGTTTTTTTTTTTTTTTAATCTAAATCAAATTATCCAAATATGATAACAAATCACATGATATCTTACTGAATCTATTAACTTAGCTGTACTGTTTGTGATATAAGCAAGATTTAGGAGACACTGTGTTCAGTGTGGTATAGCAAAGCAATATATGAAAAAGAGTTTTGAGCGTGACCTACAGTTTGACTTCTCTATTTAAAATTGGCCCAGAGTTTCCCTACTCCCATGGCATAAAATTGCTCGGCTGACGATCCTCATTGTTTTATCAGTGTTTTTTTTTTTTTTAAATATACCTTCATGCAACACAATCAATAGATTTTGCAGGGTTTGACAATTACCATATTGGGTAGTATCAGTTTTTAATGTATGTAATGATATGTTCCGTGAAGCTCCTCATGTTACTATAAGTTTTTCTAGTCAGTGTTGTGGTAAATGATAGGACTTACCTAAAATAAAACTGGCAGCTGATGCAGTTACTAAACTGCTTGCACATAAAATAAACCCATGATGTAAATTGAATATACCATCTGGAATCCATCCCATAACTACAGCAGCCACAGATGCTAAAAATCCTACTACAATGGCTTGACACTGTGTGAGAGAAAACATACATTGTGAATATGTAATGGATACATCATAGATGTTCATATTTGGTAGAGCATCTCACCCTGAGAATGTCTATATATGTTTGAAGAGAAGTCATCAAAAGTTCAGAGAATACAAGCTATAGTATAAGCTGTGTGGTTATTTTAGTATGTCAAAATCTGTGTGGTTACTATTTTATACTAAAAATATGTTAGGATATTTCGAATAGTAACACATTCTCACTTCTGGTCCAGTTAGAATTTAAAATATACCATGAATATTTATAGTTGAGATACGGTATAATTTTTGATATGTGTTGGGTCTTGAATATTTGAATGTTTTTTCTATTAATATTCTGTTTTTGTAGATTAGTTTATTTTTATTCCTTCCTTTTAAGTGTATTAATACTGTATACTTTTACTACCGGTGTTATCTGTAACCATTGCCATGCATTCCCCAGAGAGTGAGTATGTGCTTATTAATTAATAGCTCCATCGTGCTGGGCTAAATCATTTACTGAAGGACGGCCGCTTAGGTATGTGCAATTTAACTTGAAGAACATGAACCTAAAAGCATAAGGTAATCAAACAAAAAATTACCTTGTTCTGAAGCACATAAAGTATGATAACATTTTGGTTTCAAATTTACGCAGCTATCAAAAATAACGTCGTCGTCGGCAAAAGTAATCAGCATAACTATGTTTTTGACCTTTGTCACGATTTTTAATTACATCACGAAGAATTGTTCCTGGGAGTCTGTAATAAAAATGAACCCATGTCCTCCATAAAAACTCACAACAGATTGTGTTGTTTTGATTCTCGCTGGTCACCGTATTTCCTGAATCTTGCAAATATTGATTGGGCCACAAATTACCATAGCTAGGGTAAATAGTCTCTCAGCGCTTGGTTATTATCACTGATTTTTTCGTCACCAGAGTGAGTCACGTCCCAAATTTTGGTTTCCGGGTGCCTCTAATAAATTACCTATCCTATTTTTTGGCCTCGACTTTTTTTCTCTGGTAAAGGTAAAAGAAGATAAGACTCAATCAGGTCATTTTTGTTTCGAGTTTGTTGTATGCCTAGAAACATGGCAACGTTGCTTTTTGGTGTAAATAGAACACGCTCTGTCCCAATAAAAGATTTTAATATGCTTATTTATTCCTTACTGGAACGTCTAATATACTCTCAAAAATTTGACAATGACACTATAGCCCAAAATGGACTTCTTGTTAACGTGTCTTTGATTGTAGCAAAAATGTTCTTGTCACTGTACGTAAAAACATGCTTCCGAACTTTACAACATTCCCTTTCAGACCACTCATGAATATTGATACATCACTCATGAATATTGATACATCACTCACATTGATAAGATTGATTCGATTGCTGTCCGGAATACACGTTGTTGAATGTTCACGTCACTGTACATAAAAACACACTCTCAAACTTGACAATTTTAAAGTCTAGACCATCAAGCAAATAGATGGAAATACATAATGTACCAGTTGCATAAATCATGAAGATTGATGATTCGATTGGTGACCAGGATAGGTGCATTTAGTGTTCTTTTTTTGTTGGTGCTTCATTTTACTTTATTATATATTTCCGTTACTAACTTCAATTTAGTCTGTTTTTGGTTGTCTTTAAACTATTAGCCATTGTAATTTGATTAATTTTTATCTGTAATTTTTTATTGTTGTTGTAACCTTTAACCTTCTTCAGTAGGTTGTTATGTTGTTGTTAGTATGCAATATAAAATCATATCATGCTGTGGGCGGCGAAGGGTGACAAATTGTTTTGGTTCAACAAACTGTTTTGCTCTCAGGGCAACTGACATTTCCTGACTTTTTTTTTTATTATTCTGACGTGTTCTAGGCTGTATATAACAGTCAGACACTGACAAGTAAGTAAGTACTAGTAAACAGTCCGGGACATAGTCAATACAAGACAGTACGCTCAAAAAACAAGCAACACGTTTTTGGCTGTTTCCATGGTAGGACATGAACGTGAAGCTAACTAAATGGGCCCTGTATACGAAGTTCGCAAAAACCATTCAGTCTTTAGAAGTCACTTAGTTTATTACCAAGACGTATTCTACCGTTACATATCGCTTTGCGATAGTATTTTCTAGAATGAAGGCAGCATTTACAGTTCATCCAAAGTTCAAAGTTGTGTTGGGATTACGTTGATACAGTGTAAAAAGTTTTTGGCTGCTGCAATTGCAGTAGTGCGCCAGGATTTTTTTCCAATTAGTGATGGTACGGACCTACCTGTGAAGTATGAACAAAATCAAACGAGCCAAGAAAAAATCTCAGAGGAGTTAAAAACCGTTGCTGGTGAAAAGTTACCTCAACTTTGGGGTCAAATTTCTCGGTAATGAAAAAAGATATCAAAAATTCAAATAGTAACTTTGTGCCCACACTCAAGCTGAGTAGAATGAGCTATGTCTGAAGTGTTTTATCCCAAATTTATAGGAGGAGATACATCTGGCATGAAGCTATCCAAAAAATCATATTTTTTTGGGCTATTGCTATGGCAATGGTGGGCCGATTTTTTTTCCAGGTTTTTCCTAATAACTAGGGTGAAAGTGTGACCTACCTGCCAAGTTTGAGCAAAATCGGCCAAGCCAAAAAAATCACAGAAGAAATAATACGTGAAAACACTGGAAATCACACACACACACACACACAAAACAACAAAAGTGATTATAAGGGCAAACCTAGCGGAGCAGATCGCCAATAAATAATATTTCATTTTTGTTAGTATATCTTTAATTTTATTTATTAAAATATGTACACATTATATCTAATTGGGGTTGGAAATTGGCAAGCCAATTTATAAAATTAAAAACAAATATTTTCGTAAATAACACTGACCATGGAATACGCCCTTGAGAAGTGTTACTGACGGAATATTTTATATTGCAATTTCTTTCAATTTAATTAGTTATATTGCAATGCATTAGTAATAATATATATAT